CAATTAAAAAAATCCTCAGGTGAGGATTTTAAAGAAAGGACACAGCTGCTTCCTTCTTCCCTGCTGTCCCACCGGGCACCCTGCTTCAAGGTATCCTTTAATGACCCTTTTAGGTCAACCAGGCAATTTTAATGAAATGTTTGTGTCAATCTAATATTTATTACTTTAGTTAATTCTCACAGTAACCCTTACATGCCTCACTTTACAGGTGGAAAAACTGACTTGGAGGGTAATTTTCCCAAGAGGAAAAGCCCATGACTAGGTAATGGTAGAGGCCGAGCCCTGCCAGGGGTTGGCTGCCGGCCGGCTGGGCTGGGAGCCGGGCACAGCGCCCTGCTCTCTGCCCAGTGCACCTGGAGGCCCACACCTGCTCCCCCCGTGTCCTGATGCCCCCTCCTGAGGGTGCACAGGAAGAGGGGACGAGGCAGTTGTATGCCATCTGGTGTCCAGATGCCTCCTGCTGGAGCTGTCTTCTACCTGCAGCAGGCAGACGTTTCCAGAAGCAGGTGAAGTCGGGTTGGTGCAGCCCCGTGGGGACAGGCTGGAGCCAGGGGCCGTGTCAGACACCCCCTGAAACTCAGCAAACTCGCGGATTTGGTTGACCCACCTCACAGTTTCCTTGCTTGTTTTTTGCATGTACCAGTGAAATCAAACAGCAGGGAATTGGGCCAGTCCCAGGTAAGAGGAGCCTCAACCCCAGGTGTGCCCAGGGCCCAGCTCTTTCACTGGTGGCAGCAGCTCCAGACCCCTCTCCAGGGAGCTCCTTAGTCTGCCCCTCCGTCCTGTCCCTGGTGACCTGGGCTTGTTGACTGTGCAACACCAAGTCCCAGTGCCTCACTGTGGGGCTGATCCTCCATAAACCGTTTAGTTCTCTCTTCTTTCTGTGTTTAAAATAGGAAATAAGTGGATATTTTCATTCTTGTGTGTATGTAAATTGAAGCAAGTAATTTCCTTTAAGGTCATAAGTCTCTGACTCCCACAGCCACAGTGTCAGTAGCAGGTCCCATCCCTGCCTTGAGAGGCAGCTTGTGCCCAACTCCTGTCCCCGGTGGCCCCCTGGGCGCCCCCACTTCACACTGCCTGGGTGAGAGTTGGCACCCAGGTCCTGCCAGGCAAGTCCCACT